CTTCCTTCCTTCCTTCCTTCCTTCCTTCCTTCCTTTCTTCCTTCCGTGGTTGATAGAACTCTCTAATTTGGAGGGTAGGGGAAAACTAGATATCAGATTCTCCCTCAAACTTCTCAAACAACTTCTGGGACAGATTGGCTCAAAAGAATAAATAGCAGAGGTCTGGCAAGGGGAGAACTAGAAGGGGCTGTAGCTCATAGGGGTCATGAGTTTGATTGGCTCAAAAGGATAAATAGCAGAGGTCTGGCAAGGGGAGAACTAGAAGGGGCTGTAGCTCATAGGGGTCATGAGTTTCTAGTAGATGTTAAATGTTCTAGAAAATTGTGAATGCACTTTATCATGATTGCAAAGTAGCAGACTATTTACTCCTTTCTGTGGTTTGTGGTGAGAAACAAAACTAACAGAACAAACCAGGAAGTGGCTGGAGCAAAACAAACGTTTGTCTACTTACACTTGCACCATGCTGGTCTGCCATTAGTAGCAAGCTGTAGAACCACAGAAGTCAAGGTGTTCTATGTTTGTCATTAAGGTTGCAATATTTTTGCATAAATTTATATGGCAAATAAACCATGAAACATCATAGCTCTAACAAGAAGCCATACACATCTATGTACTGCCTATAACCTGTGAACCTCATCGCTCAGGGTTTGTTGGGAGTGGGTCAGCCTAGAAGTGCCATAAATGCCTTCAAACAAACAAATCAACCAACCTCCAAATGGAGACTAATTGCTACAAATGGCAAGAGTAGTTCCTAAAGCCATTCAGTTAAAAAAAACAAGAAAATAAGGCAGTTGATGCTCACATCTTGATAGCTGATGGCATCTGGTCATGAAGTACCCCTGCCCTCCCAACAACTGCGAAGATGAGCCAACAAGAATCTGGCTTTTCTTGAGTCTTATGCTGCAAGAGTCAGCTGTCACTGGGCAGTTAAATGCTCAAGTGTGTTAACAGTGAACCTGGCAAGTCTTCTGGTGCTGGAAAGTTTTGGTCAAGGCATAGTTATATCGTGCCCAGAGACAAATGTCCATTTGCTGCTGTGGAAGACAAACCAACTGGTCTGAACTGTGGGAAGCAGAAAATTGACTCTGAATAATCATTCTGTTTGGCGTGGACAGAGATTTCTTTGTACCCAAGCCGCACTATGTCGGGATCAGGGGCAGGATAAGAGACAGACACTGTAGCTGTTGATATGGCTGCTCTAGAAGACAAGAGGTCAATATATTGCTATGTGAGGCTAGAAGGAAATAAAAGGAGAATGCAGATCGAAAGCTTTGCTTCATTAACTTTGGAAGGAATAGCTCTTTTTGGAAGGTAAATGGTTCTGTGGATGAATAATCTGATATTTCATCCTGAAACTGACCAGTAAAATTTAAAGGAGGGGTAGGCAACTTTTTGCAATCAAAGGAAAATTGTCTCTTTAATTTGCTTTTTAGCCACAAATAGCCTGTTTTAGCAGTAAGCATGTTGGTGATATAGTGAGATCACCAGAGATATTTTGGGGGCAGAGATGCCAATGGATTTCAGTTGTATGATTTTGGGGAGCTCCAAGTGTAGCTCCAAAGGGATGGGAGCTATATGTGTCCTGTGGAACTGCATTTGGGAAACATAAGAATCAGATCATTGGTTCACTTAGCTCAATACTTTGATAGTAGCTGCCTCTTTCAGAGTTCTTCTTTCAGTTTGTGTCTTCCCAGCCACACCTGGAGACATTGGGCATTAGACTTGGCAGCTTTTGTATGCAAAGGAGATGCTCTGAGGTACTGCCTTCTCTCATCTAAAATGTTAATCAGTCCATGAGGAAGGATACAACCAGTAATGGCTGGTTTTTCGAAAGAAGGGTTACAGGTGTACATTTATATTCCTTAGCAAAATTCTATAGTGGGAATGTTCACAATACAAGCATGTGGAATACCCATATCCTGTATTGTATGTGTGATCAGCAAATAAAGTATGCAAACAACACAAAACAACTGCCATCCTTTGCTTTAGAAATGGCAGTTTTCCTGCCTCCTGATGTGTTGTCCATGCAGGGAATTTTAGTCCTTTGAGACAGAAGCTCAGGATGTGGCAACTGTGTTTGTTCCAGCAGATCTTGATGACATCATAGCTAGCAATGTAGATCTTCCCCTTGATTCTCTTCATCACTGATTGCTGGATAACACTCCCCCCATCTCTTGCTTTGGTTTGGGTATTGTAGGTTTATTTGGCATACAGAACTTAGGGAAATCAGGATAAATGTGCATTGCCTATTCAACTGCCTGCACAGATGTATCCTGCTATAATACAAATATCTAAAGCTGCCTTACATCAGATCAGGAAACTGGTCCATCTTGGGCAAGGCTGTCTATTTTTGCCGGTGTCACCTGATCTCCAAGACTCTGAATTGCAGCTGCCAATGGTTGAACCTGGGACCTTCTGCATATCCAAATCATAATCTGTACTTCTCCGCAACAGCTTCCATCTGTAAGGTTTCCTAAGGAAAAAGGTGCCTCCGCTTCCTACTTTAGTATAAAAAACCAGCCATTTTGATGTCCATCTTGGGTTTTCAGCCTTATGGATTATGATCAGAGAAAAATGAATAATTTTGCAGTTCTTAACCATAGGAGTAAGTGTGCTGAAATCAGACTTTAAAAGTTGGAGGAAATGTGGCAGGTAGCTATCTGGACCCAAATTTTGGACTCAGTTCTGCAGAATGGATTGTGTAGTTGGATTGCAACTTCCACAATTGAGGAAACTGCAGTCCAATTGCATTTGAAGGGTATCAGGCTGGAGGCAGGTGGTGTATTGATCCATTTGCAAGTCCTAAGATCTGAACTAAGCTAGCAAAGCAAGGTTGAAGAGCATTCCTGAGCCCCTGAACTGAGCAACAAAACATTTGAAAAGTTTGCAGTAAATATTGTTGAGGAAACTTCAGTCATGATTTATTAACCTGACAGCTCAGTGTTCACCTTTCAAAACCAGGAGAGCTGAAGTTTAGCCTTAAAACCCTGGGAAGCTAATATCACTGATTAGCTGGGAAAAAGGGGAAACCTGACCACATCTTTCCTGTGTCTTTCCATTTAATGTTCTGTGGTCCCAAAGCTCCAAAATGTGTTTGAAGACAGCAGCTCTGTGTCATTCATCAGGCTCTTTCTAGACATTCTGGCTGCAGATGACTGCAAAGTTTAAAAATAAGCTTTCCATAAATAGATAAGGAGCCAGGACATATTCCATAGAGACAATAGATCTGTTCCAGTCTTCTGAATAAGACCCTCTTCCCCCAACTTCCTACCATTTCCTGCTATGTTTTTGAGCAAGCACTGGTTCTCTTAAATGTGCAGCTTCTTACTGGGTGGCTGTTATTCATAGGATTGGGTCATAACTATAGCCTTGGAAAGGTTTAAGCACTCAGCTGCAGAATCATGATGAAGTCACCATTCATTTGAGAAATGATGAAAATATTCGGGAATTTTTAAGTTAGGAAGTGTGGAATTAGCTACAGAGGAGATAAAGAATGCAGTTATGTGCGGCTGATTTGGACCATATTTCCTATAGTCCCTTGAGGCCTGATGGGAGTTGAAATCCAAAACATGGATGGCACAGAGATGCCTGCCTCTTAGGGTTGCCTAGTTAAATCAGCGAGCAAAGAAAAGAAAGTAATTTTTCAGGTATAGTATTCCCAGCCAAAGAATATGACATTGGCCAATAAATTGCAAAAGATGCATTGATGCACAATATAGCTTCTGTGAATGCAGTCTCAAAATTAGTAACTCCACACTGTCTTAACAACCCACTTTTATGGTCTCTAGAAGCAAATGAGATGCTCGACTGGGTGGGTGACTGCTCTGATCCAATAAGTCACTTTTAGAAGTTAGATTGTTTTGTGTTTTTTCTTCCCAGATAACTTTAAAAAAAGCTGAAGTTTAACATTTGTTCCAAGTCTCCAGCCACTGTATTGTTTATGCCCATTGTTGGGATTGGAGATGAACAACAGTTTGGTTTGAGCAGACTAAATAGGAGCAGCATCTTTTGTTTATACAGAAACGGCTCGTCCACATGTAGCATGAGTTGCCCTGGAAATTTGATGAGCCAGAGTTGGTTTAAGATGACAAAGGCTCCAAATTACATTCAGAATTTTCTACTTTGTATTTGCTTCAGGAACACTAAATCTAAAGGATCTTGCAGAACTGAGATACATTCATTCTCTACCTAATCAATTTGCCTAACTGACATAACAATGGGCAAAATTTTCTAGGCTTTTGTTCTTACAACTTCCAGTTGTTACATACTTCATGATAGACATGAGGCTTCGATCAAAGCCAACAGAGAAGATGGAGAAAATCAAGAACAGCACAGTTGCTCATCTTGAATGGACAAGGCTGACTTCATGTCCTCCTAAGTTCAATCCTAGCATGTGATTTGAATGCCAAAGGGACACTCAGGTTTCCATGGGCAGTCCCTCTGCATGCAAAAATAGCCAGGTTTAGTTTTGGCTCTGACATTTAAAATAATCAAGTAGATTAGCAAGCAAAACAACTTTTACCTGAGACTATGAAGAGCCTCTGCTTAGTAAGTCATGATTAAAATAAAGAGTGTCTTAGTATGATATATAAACCCAAGCCAATGTTTTATCATGGAAGAATCCACAGTAGGCTTCTAGGGACCTCTAGCTGACCTTGAAATTTAGTTTGAAAACTGCTGCTCTAATCTGAAGAGGTTTAAAATTACTGAAAGTATTGATTCTTCTTCTATCTGCCCCCTAGTTACACTGAAAACAGCAAAAGGACACACAACCACAGCCAATAACCCAGGTGCATTTATTGAGTTTCCTCTCTTTTGCCATCTGCACTCAGAGTCCTTTTAAATGGAAACATGACTCACCTAATGAAGTAACAGCAGAAAATGAGGCTGAGCACGAAGATGAAGACACCTGTGCCAAAAATCACCATGTAGATGTTCAGTGGCAAATCCTGGAAAGTGATGGGAGGCATGGTGCACGTTTTGTTGGTATAGATCAACCCCAGACCACAGAAGCATCCTAGAAATGAGAAGCAAAGGAAAGGAGGTAAAGGTTGTGTTGGTACCTAATGGTGAACCAGGTCTATTTTAACCACAGTTGGTTGAATATGCCAGGAATAAGCTAGGCTCAGTCTTGCAGATGAGCAAAATACTCAGAGCTTGTACAACTAATTTTAGAATTAATTCTTCATTTCTTCTGCCAGTGCCCGGAGAAATGTGTGGAGCAAAAGCAAACAAAAAGCCACGGTTAGAAGAAGCTAGGATCTCTACATTCTGGGTTTTGGAAGGATGGGTTTCCTCATCATATTAAGCCAAAGACAAGCTGTGTTATGGCACAGCTTATAACAACATACGTGAATCAGGTGATAGCCTCAGCAGAATAAAAAATAAAAGGCAGGAAAGAGGAGAGACCTATTTCAAACTGTAGTAACTTTTCTCATTAATCCTAGTGTATAATTTTATTAGTATATATCATGATATTGATTGGAACATATCAATCTTACTAGGTCTTTTGTTCATAGGCTTTTCCTCAAATGATTTCAAGTATCAAAACTTGCAGGTAAAAGAATGAAAATTATGTTGACAATAGGCCTGATATCCACAGATAGCATCCTTATGTAGCTACCAGTAACTCAGTACTATTACAAGGTTCACTGGCATCAAGTACAAGCAGATTGAGAGTAACCATTTAAATTTCCCACAATGCTTTAAAGCACTGTTGCTCCAGGGCGTTGTGGGAAATTTGAAACATGGTGACCAATACAGATTGGATGATAACTCTCTATTGCCAAACTCTATTGCCACCAAGTAAAGTCAGAAGAGATGCCTCAGGCATTGAAGAGGGTCATATAGATAGCAGTGTGACAAGCCTTCTCTTGACAATGCCTGTTTGTGTTAATAAATTAAAAAACCAAGGAAAGAATTTGAGGCAGCCATTGATTAGAAAAGTGGAGAACTTCTAAAGCAGAGATGAGGAATCTGTGGCCCTCCAGCTGTTGTAGAACTAGACCTCCCAATATCCCCCAGCACTGATGCTACTGGTAATGGTAGTCCATCAACAAGTGGAGGGACCCAGGCTTAGAGTTACAACATTAAGCAGAGATGGACATGCATTTACTTTCATGTATTTAGCTAAAATATTCCTACCCTGCTCTGAGGCATTATGACATTTAAAGTGGCAGAGAAAAAGATAGCAGGAAGAGACCACAAGTATCAAGCAAAAGATTCCTTCTTCCAGGAGCTCAGTAGCAAAACAGAGGTATGTTGGTAGTTTACATGCTCTAACCACAAAACCAGACTGCAAGTGGTTATGCCTTGAAGAGAATTCCAGTATTGGAGAGCACCCACTGAAACAGTATGATCCCCAGCATCAACTTAACCATGCCTCCTAAAGCAAAGGATGCACTTAAAGGCTCAGAAGATCTCGCCTCCTCTTGCTACAGCCAGTCTTGATATGTTGGATTAAAGTCCCATCCTCACCAACTAACATGCTGGCTGGAGAGCATGAAAATTAGACTCCCAGAGTGGGAAAGAGCTATAGAAGCCATGGAGTTAACCTCCTCCAGTCCAAAGTAGGAAATGATGAAAGCATGATCAGATGAACTATTTAAAGAATCATTACACGAACAGAAACTCTGTTGATTTCACACAAGACACAGATCAGCTGGGGTCAGTAAGAGGAAGACTGGCTTAAAGACCCTACAAACACAACTCAAAACATCAAAGTAGTAATGCAGAAACTATAAGCAAGATATAAAAATGAAATGAGGCAGGAGATGCCATTCTGAAGCAGAGATAATTAAATGCTGGCCATTCAGCACCAAGCAACAGACTGAGAGGGGAAAAAGGTGATTTTCAGGATGAATGCACTGTCTTAATTATCCAAACAACAGAAGCATATGTACACATAGCACTTGACCCTTGCTTTCCCCAAAGGGGGTGGAGGTGGCAGAAATAAGGTAGGAATTTTAAAAGCAAGCACAACACGTGCACCTCAAGAGGTGCTGAGCACAGGAATGTTCTGGACCCCAAAGCAAGAGAGGAAGAAGGGTTCTCCTTTGACAGAGACCCTATTTTGAAGAAAAACAGTGAGGCTTCCTTGCCTTCTCCAAACACTCCCAGGATGAGCTTCTACATTCTTGCTTCCCCTTCAGTGCTGCTGGGGAGTAACCTTGGTAGCAAAAGCCAATATACAGGCTGAACAAATGAAAATAGAGGAGCGAGCAGCTTGCTTTCTCAACCATTGCAAAGGCCTGCTGGGAAGATGACTCTCAAAAGGCCAAAAGTTAAAACCTGTTCTGACATCTCTCTGGCCCTAACCCTGCCTTGTGTTCCTCTAATGGTAGGCTTCCACAACCACTAGGTAGAGCAACTCTTGTGAAGTTGTTGCCACCACCTATGGACAGCAGCATTCTTGGAGTCCATTTTCACCCTCTAATTAAAAAGCATGTTGGCTTCCATTTAGTGATTACTTCCAGGTCCCCAACTTGTGGGGAAAATTGAAATCAAAATAGCTTACAAAGGACATGATTTGCTCAAGCTACCTGAAAGCTGCTATGACTTTGGGTCAACCAGGAAGCCCTTTTTAAAACCTTTGATGAATAAAAAAAGCTTGATTTATCTCCTAGTGCTTCTTGACAGTTTCTTCAGCTCCAACCTTTGTGTTTTAGCCTGACTGGTGATGTGCTATTGCTGCTTCTGAAGTTCTGGAAGGGTTGGAAATTTTGGAAGCAATGAGTCCTAAGGCAATACCTTTGTATTTTAGAGGAAACTAATAACTTCTGGAAAATCTTGTTCCTGGTAAATAGTGTGTAATTATTCTCCTATAATCCTAAACTGAGGTTAACACAACAAAAATGTTGTTTGTGTAATGGACACCTCAGAAAATGCTTTGTAAATGTTGGTTTGGTTGTAGTTAAAGATGCTGCAAGCAGTCAATGAAGCTAGGGATTCATTGCATTTACTTTTTCATACTGACATATCACATGTTGGATGACTTGGTTTATGAAATAAATGAAACAAGCACTAAATTTGGTGCTATGCATCATTCAGATTGATAGACCTTGCCAACATATAAAAGCATGAAATTCTGGTATCATTCAATGGCACAGGTATGCAAAAGTTCAGAAAATAAAAAAGGAAGCAAATACAGTTTACAGAAATGTATGCGTTGCTTCTCAAATTTGATTTTTTTTATTCTTCAACAAAAGTACAAGAAACAGCAATATGGCCACATTTTTTGAAGGGATTCTGTATATAACATAATTTTCCAGGCCTTTTCCCTCCATTTGTTTGTTTTTATTCCATTGTCATGATTATTAATGTTGAGGTTACATTATACTGTTAACACTGCTGTATGTTCTCATATTAGCTTACTACAATGAAACAGAATGTTACTGCCTATTAGAATAATCATGGTTCAGCAAGACTTACTAAGAAGTCTGTTTCACACCTGAACCACTTCCTGTCTTCTCTGAGATTACCTCCACAATGACTCTGAGAAGAGGTAATTACATTCAGAGAAAACACCTTTGCCAGCTGGGATTATAGTTCCCCAAAATCTAGGCCAACATGGCCAAAAGCCCAGCACCTGTGGCAGGTACCTGATTGGGGAATGGCTGTTCTAAGGAAGCATGATCTCCTAGCCCAAGTTCGAGGATGACTACAGAGGAATTATCACAGAACTGATAATATGCCAATAAGCAGATTTGTCTCAATGCAACTGCTTTGGCTTGTTATTTTGAAATTACACTTGTCCTCTTAAGATGAATATCTAAATAAATCTTAGGAAACTGCACAGTGAGGGGAAAGTTACTGCTTCTTTAACAGGCCACCTCAGTGAAAGCTGATTAAGGACATTATTCCAGAGGAGGCACAGATTGGTTCAAGCATTTCAATATGCTCTGGAGTAGGCCCTGAAAAACAGCTTGGTACAGAATTCAAACCCACTGCCAAATACTAAAGACAATTTTTCCAACTGCTATAGATTTGGGAAGATATACTGGCTAAAAACAGTTACATTCCATTAAGACAGATGTTACTGACATGACTAAAAGTGCTTCTAGTTGCCCACATGCCAAACCAGAAGGGGAAACGGTGTCTTTTGAAGAAGTCAGTCTTATCACAAGGATGCAGGTTTAGCAGGTGGTTTCCCCTGCCATCATTTCTGGCATGTGCTACAAAATCACATTTTCTCCCCTTTCTGCGCCTGTTCCACTACTGCTCATAAGGAGACAGCAAGAGGAAGCTGTTGCTCTTCTTTCTTTTGTTCCCTTGTTATGCGGCCAAGGATGACAGGTGATTAACTGTAAATAGTAAAACAGAGGAGCCCAATTGAGTAGACGGGTTCGTCATGCGCCTCTTGCTGCATCATTACATCATATCATTGACCTATCTCGCTCGCTTCTGCCTGCACAAACAGCAGTGATCCACCAAACAGGATTCTTTCCCAGCAGGAACAAAACAACAAAAAAAAATTCCAAACACAAGTCTGTGCCCCTGTCGAACATGCAGGTTTCGGGTGTCTTTGTTCATGCATGCAGTGAAACACAGCTGCTTTGTTCCAGGCAGGGAAGGGAACAGGAAAAAAACCAAGGACATTGGCAGCCAAGGAGGCAGAAGAGAGGTGATAGGCAACAGGAACACTGGGGGTGGATGGAAGTCCAGTAGGGCATGGTGTACCAGGAGCTGTTGAGAAAGCATTGTTTTTTCAAAGAAGAAACACAAGAAACCCGACTATTTCTCCATCTACCTGGATATGGTTGGTCCTGACTGGCTGGTTTACAAACCTCTCACTGAGGTTTCTTCCACCACATGCTGCCTAAGACTGTCCACTGAGGATTGCACAGATGGAAACTTGGCTGCTCAGTGTGCAAGGAGGGTGCCCAGAAGCAGGTTGCCTCATCAGTTGAGCATCAAGGAACAAGAAGGAGTTTCCTTCTTTCCCAGTTTGAAGACAGTTTGACTACCCTATTTAATAGCAATATAAAATTTATCTTGTGAAATTCAAGGTCAGCCTCCCCTAAAGGAAAATTAGAGAAATGCATAGCTTTCCCTTTCTGTATTCCCAGAAAATTTAAGATAAAACCTTCCTCCCCACCCAGACTATCTTAAAGGTAGGTTATTTGAGAGACAGTAGACCTCCTTTAGGTCAACACAGTATTGAGAGTAATATTTTTCTTTTGTTTTGGATTTGCAAAGCACAATGGCTGATTTGCACTATTAATACAATGGTTGCATGGTCTAGATTTGGACTTGGCATTCCACCATCAGGTTATTTTATAAAAAGTCTGCTTCCTTCTCCCTAACCAGAGGAACAGGACATTTTAGGAAAGTCATTTCTCAAAGGTGGAATCACCAAGCTGCAATATCAGGAATGAATCACATGCATATATCTTTAAACACCAAAAATAAAAGCCTGAAAAAAGATGAACATTGGTACAGAAGGTTTGCCATGGGTAGAGAGGTGATGATTTTGATTTCCCAAAGGCAAACCAGTGTGATTTCTTCAGAAAAGTCTCATGAGGTGAGAAGGCTGTTCCTTAGTGGATCATGACAGCAGCTTGAGTGAGGCCCCACACCATTAATGGTCTGCATCTGAATGTTCTGATCTTCTAGCAAGTGGACCAAGTCTCATCTGACTTTATTGAGGGAGGGAGGGGTTATTTCCAAGCAGAGATACCTAGTACTGTGTTATAAAATAAGCTTTGGTCCTCCACAAATTGCATATTTCTCAATGTCAATCTGTGCCTAGCAATGAAAACAGCCCAATGTTCTGTTTATTTCTAAAAATCAGGGGCTGAAATAGTTTGCTTGGAGAAAGAGAAATGCAAAATAAAGATGTGGGCAAGCTGTAATGGATGAATGTCCTGTGGTCTGGTGGTAGTAAATTCCTTATCCTGGCATGTTGGAAGGTGCATTATACCAGCCTGACCCAATACTAACCCTTTCAACTGCAGCAGCTCCTAGACCCCCCACTGTTTGATCCTTTTGATCTAGAGAAGCCAGGATCCAGCCTGGAAACCTGCTGTTTTATCACTGGGCTTCATCTCATTTCTTAAAAGCCCATTTGTTCCCCAGTCTTTCAGATTTACAGTCTCCAGACCTGGGCTCTCAATTATTCATAGCTTCTTAGATGTTGCCAAAGTGTTTCATCCAGGATTTCACTTCTAAGAGCTTAACCAGATGTGGGAAGGATAATCCATAATAGGACACCCAACTTTTTTTTTCCTTTAAAGCAACCATAGAGCGCTTTGATTTTGATTTGACTGCCAATCCAGAGAGAAAGAGAGAGAAGGAAGGAAGGAAGGAAGGAAGGATTTAAAAGTCTGTCTCGTCCATTCTCTTGATTGCTGAAAGTTTTAAGTAGCCTTTTCTGGATAAAAAAAAAAAGGCGTAATAGAAGCACCATATTCTCTCACTTCCAATGGTGCTGATACCAGCTTTGGTGTGCGTGTGAATCTGGCTTGGCTCACTCATGCTGTTAAGTCATGGTTTATAGCTGAATAAATCAGTCAGATACTACATTAATCCCAAACCAAACACATTACTGGTGATGTGTGAATTCAATCTGTGCTCATGAGTGTGTCTGCAGCTAGGCTCCTACATCACTCCGAGTTACTACTAGTCTCACACTAAGCAACTTTCTCTTCATCCTTTATAGTGGGGGGGGGCAAAGAAACCTACCAGCTCTGCTTATTTCCCACTGAAATGTTTAACGCTGCAAGTTCTTTCAGTCTAGTTTACAAAGAATGATAGTATGTTTTATCACCTGAAGACCAAATCTCATCCATCTGCAGTGCCAAGTGAAATAGATGACAATTGTTTTCAGCATGGAAGGGCCCGAGAGATAAAAAGAGAAGGCAACTCTTGTTCAGCACCATAAGCATGGTTCAAATTCTGACTTAAAAATTAGGCATTCAAATGCTCTGCCTGGGATGGCCAAATCTTTCTTTTTCTTTTCATCCTGTTTATGAAGAAATTAGCCTCATTTGATAAGCTCATATTGTTTCTTTTTCTTAAAAAAAAAAAAAAATCAAATTCTCACTCATCTTTATACTCTTGTCTGCAATAAGGGGGGGGGGGGAAGCCCCCAAAAAAAATCAAATTCTCACTCATCTTTATACTCTTGTCTGCAATAAGGGAAAATAAAAAAGCCCACTTACTTTACAGGGTTGTTGTACACAAAACAAACATATAGTGTACATCAAACACTCTTGATCACATAACAGCTCTTATAAGCTCATATTCAATTTCCAAGAACGATACTAATGTCAAGAGTTGTTATAAGAAAAAGAAAAGAAAAAAGGAAAGTACAAGGTTTTCAGCTGGACCAAGGTCACAGTTGGAAGAATGCAAGGAGTTAATATAAGATTAACAGAGGTCCTACTGAGGGAAAAAAAAATAGAGTTGATTTAGCTAGCAGACCTGCAAACCTACACCTGAAAAGCAACTCTGCTTTATATAGACTCCACTGAAGGGATTCTAAAACATTCTTTGTTTACTGCTTCTTGTTTGCAGACAGTCCTGACAGTGGGGAGATGGGACTTCTGTTGATGTCCCAACAACAGGTCTGTTCTAATTTCATCCACGAGGCTGCAGATGGT